TCTTCTTGAATCTGAGGAGACTTTTAAAGTCCTCTTAAGAGCCTCTTTAGACTTGACCTGACTAACTTCAGTATATGTTGATCTGTATTTGATGTATTTCTCTGACATTGCCTCTTTATTTCTACATGTCTTGCTCTTGTCGGGTCTATAAATGTGTGTCCTACATCTCTTTTTACTCCACTACATTTATCTGAGAGCTTCAAGTTACTTTTCAGACTATAACACGTGAAGCCTCTCTTCTGGACTCGGGTGTTCTCAATGACTCTAATTAGATCAGAGAGCATGTGGAGCGTCAGTATAAAAGACCAGAGGAGCCTCGTTGAGTTCACAGCACAGAGCTTCAGTCTATGAACTGCCACGAGCTGCTGTGGACCAGTTGCTGCGGCAAGTCAAACATGGTGTCTGGACCGTCTCTAAGGTGAGCTGAAGGGGTTAATACGACAAAGACCACCATCCTTCAAGTGAACTGTTCACAGAATGAACTGGTTTGTTCCGTCTCTCTCTCAGGGTTTCTTGGATCTGTCTGCTGCTGTTTAGTGGTGGAGTTTGTTTTCCTGCTGAAAGAGGTGAGGTTCACTTTAACTTCCTGAGAACAGACTTGGCTCCGCTATAAAATAAATGATGATGGATCTTCAGGCTTAAAGTTCTCTAGAAGTAGAATAACAAGAGAATTTGTGTTTTGAAAATGCTTTCAGGTTAAAATGCAAACTTAAACCACTTATTATAATAATCAGTACTTGGACCATGTGTTGGATGCTGAAGTTTCTTCCCAACTCATTCTGTCCCTCCAGACTCTAGATATCGCTACAGTGTTACTAGGGGCTCAAGTGATGGATCTGATCCTGGTCTTCCTCTGGTCAACCTGCAGTATGAACCCTCTGATTATCAGCATCCTAGGGTGGCCTCCCAACATGTCGGCTCTCCCACTGGAAACCAGTCCCCATCCGGTCCGGGAACTCCCATTGTGGCTGCAGAATGGTCACCACGTTACAAGCTAAACCGGTCCATTGTTAGTCCCGATTCCAACGCTCCTTCCCAGGGTGCAGGGTACGATCCATCAGCTAGCGGCACTGGGAAGAGGACTCGGAGCTTCTCTGAGATGCTTCAATCTGATGCTGCCACCAGTGAAGACTCCAATGTGAGCTCAGGTGGAGCAGCAGCATTCAGCCCAGTCCTGGTTCCTCCTGGCTTCATGTTCGCTGGGAACGAGGCTCCAACCTTGGACTTTGGTAATGGACCCGTTCCTTACATCGGTGCTCCTGAAGCCTTCAACTATGGTCCTGGATCTGATCCTTTTAGAGGTGGTAAGTCTCCAGTCCTTATTTTCACCCCTAAAGCATTGAGACTATTTTATTCCACAAGCCTTTGCTGTTCTGTATATTTACTCGCCTGAACTGATCATAAGGCAAAGATTTGTTGAGAAACTTGAATGTCTTCACTCTAACAGTCCTGGACCTGTGTTTTCTTATCTTTGGTTTCAGGTAACAAAGGTACCACTGATGGACTTGATGCTGCTCTTGCAAACAAAGACTTTGGTGACAGACCTGCTTCTTTCCCCGACCGTCCTTTGGTCGCTCAGCCTACACAGAGAGGTGACTCCTCGCTCGATGACCTGACTGACGAAGCTGGTCTTTATGCTGCTCCTGCAACCTCCAGTCTTGGTGACGGTTCTGGTTCCCCCCCTGGTCGGTCTTTGGAAACTCGGCCTAAACCGAAACTTCAATCCTCGTTTTACAACCCGACAGGTGGATCTTATGCTTATGCTGCTCCTGCAAGCTTCGGCCTTGGTGGTGGTTCTGCTTCCCTCCATGGTCGGCCTTTGGAAACTCAACCTGAATCCTTGTTCTACAAACCGACAGGTGGAACTTATGCTGCTCCTGCAAGCTTCGGCCTTGGTGGTGGTTCTGCTTCCCTCCCTGGTCGGCCTTTGGAAACTCGACCTGCGCCGGGACCTGAATCATCGTTCTACAAACCGACAGATGGAGCTTATGCTGCTCCTGCAAGCTTCGTCCTTGGTGGTGGTTCTGTTTCCCTCCCTGGTTGGCCTTTGGAAACTCAACCTGCGCCGGGACCTGAATCCTCGTTCTACAAACCGACAGATGGAGCTTATGCTGCTCCTGCAAGCTTCGTCCTTGGTGGTGGTTCTGTTTCCCTCCCTGGTCGGCCTTTGGAAACTCGACCTGCGCCGGGACCTGAGCCCTCGTTCTACAAACCGACAGATGGAGCTTATGCTGCTCCTGCAAGCTTCGGCCTTGGTGGTGGTTCTGTTTCCCTCCCTGGTTGGCCTTTGGAAACTCGACCTGCGCCGGGACCTGAGCCCTCGTTCTACAAACCGACAGATGGAGCTTATGCTGCTCCTGCAAGCTTCGGCCTTGGTGGTGGTTCTGTTTCCCTCCCTGGTCGGCCTTTGGAAACTCGACCTGCGCCGGGACCTGAATCATCGTTCTACAACCTGACAGGTGGAGCTTATGCTGCTCCTGCAAGCTTCGGCCTTGGTGGTGGTTCTGCTTCCCTCCCTGGTCGGCCTTTGGAAACTCGACCTGCGCCGGGACCTGAATCATCGTTCTACAAACCGACAGGTGGAGCTTATGCTGCTCCTGCAAGCTTCGGCCTTGGTGTTGGTTCTGCTTCCCTCCCTGGTCGGCCTTTGGAAACGCGACCTGCACCGGGACCTGAGCCCTCATTCTACAAACCGACAGGTGGCGCTTATGCTGCTCCTGCAAGCTTCGGCCTTGGTGGTGGTTCTGCTTC